AGATTTGGTATTTGGATAAATATAAGCAGATTATGCTCATCTGTTATAGAGTTTTATGCAGATTTTTGATTTGAGGTAAAAGAAATTTATTGATCCAATTTAAAGTAAAAGTAAAATAAATATTTAAAAAAAATAACACCAACAGATGACAAACATAGTCTTGTGTTTTTGTCAGTTGTCAGTGGTGTTTTTTCCTGGATTTCAATATTAGATATATCTTCCATTTGTCAATTTTGTAATTTAAAATTTAAACAAAATTTTATAAAACAATCGTTTTGGGAAAAAAACTACTAAAACACTATAAACTCAGTGATATACTCTGCTATATACAGGAGGAATTTTAAAAGTAAAATATTATTAAGATACCAAATTATAATGTTATGTGTAAATGCAGGTGACTTAACCAAGTTTACTTATATATTTATAAGTTTTATTTTGAAACTTGTTACCAATTGAAATCCAGTGTGTGTTACACTATCAATTTATACACAATAACATTTAATTACAACTGGTCTTAATCTACATCGTAAATATTTTTACAAAAGATGAATTGTAATCCGTTGGGTGTTTAACAAAAGAAGGACACCCATTTCATTGTCCATTAAATAATGACAGAAGTGGAAAAAGTTTGTATTCCATACTGAAGGTTCACAAATAAGAAATTACATTGTAAACTTAAAGATTAGTGTGTAAAAAATAGTGCAGCTATATTTCAACAGTTATTTTGTCTTCTGAAAAAAATCAGGATATATTAAGGACTTTAATTTGTTGATTTTCACGTGAAATATGGGAGAAGTTGCTGGACGGATTGCTTTTTTGAGACAACAAAGAAAAGCAAAGCAATCCGAACCTATTAGAAATGATGGTCAACTGAAGGTTAATAGTGGTATCATTGAAAACAATAGTGTTAAATATCGAAATTCGTCTTGGTCAGATATATATAATGCTACAATTATGTCCAGAGCAAATTCCATGGGCAATAGTGGAAGGTTTCTGCAGACGGACCATAAACTTGCGGCTATTCTTGATAAATCACGTAATAAAAGACTGAACCAACAGAAAAATATAACGTGGTTTGAAAAGTTCAAACGAATTCATTTTAGGGAATTTAACAACAAAGCTGCAAAATATGAATTTAGTAAAAAAAAAACTTCAGATGACTATCTGAAAGAGAAAAAACCGAAGAAGTACAAACAGCTGCCAAAGAGTGAGAGGATGAGATATCTGAAGTTTTTTGGTAGGTTATTTAAATCGTAGAGCACGTAGTGAGGTTATTCTATTTGTAAAACACCTACAGATTACCATTTTAGATGTTTTATTTATAGAGATTAAAAGTAGCGACGAACTTTTGTTTCCTCCTAAAATAAATAAAATAACGCATACATGGGATGTTTAGGTTTAACTAGTTTTAAAGGGGCACTAGCTGTCTAATTCATGTTCACCGATTTGACTCAAATTCTCATATTTGTTATATAACAATGTAAAACATTTATCCAAATTATAAAAAATTTAAAATAAACAATTTACAGGGCATGGGGTCGATAATATGTAGCTTCGTTTTTGTGTGTATTTTGGTCTAGACGCCATCTAATAAACTGTCGAATTGACCCCCGAAAACCACCTATGCCCATATTAGGGATATAAACATAAATAAAGATATAAATAGATAGCTCAAATCGTGCAATTGGATTCTTCTAGGTCTATTTAATTTCATTTATAGATTAAAAATATATGTTAATCATCATTTTTACCTGTATAAGAATGATTTTTTTGAGGATCGAATCAGTCAATTAAATGAATTACCTTTGTTTCGTTTCAATGTTGACATTCTTTTCCTTTAAATAATCAAACATGCACACAATTCATGCGTTATCCAACTCTATGTAAGGGGTTAAATTGAAGTTCACACGAATACGGTTTCAATGAGGTCGAATTATTCACTTGCAAGTGAATAATTCAGCATCAATATTTATTTGCTTATTTTGACAAAATTAGACAATACTGGCTGCTAAAAGCGAATTATTATTTCACTATTCCACTTTCATTAATGACTGAACAAAAAAAATCATATTTTATAATTTTTTTATATCTCGTAGCTAGTGCCCCTTTAAAGGTGTACAACCCTCATCGTAATACCTTGATATTGGAAAGAACTAAAGCAAATTTTTGTTCTTCCCTCGCCGGGATTCGAACTCATGCTGTTGAGATATCGAGACAACACCTCCTGCACTGCGTCCAGCGCTCTAGACCACACGGCCACCTAGACTGAACTAATAATGCAGCTTTCGATGGCCTGGTGTTACCTTTCCTCGTCAGTAGAATCTAGAGCTGTAACACAGTACATGATAAAATAGGCATGAAGATGGAATTGATTGCAGATTAGCTATATATCTATCGTAAAGGATCGTAAGATACAGTCACAGAAATAATTATTTTGATAAGTACGTCTAAACAAGTGACAACTCTACGACAGATCCATCGATATATATATGGCAGTCATCAGGGTTTAAGAACATCAGTTGTTCGACCTGTTAGTCAAATGCGTTTTGTTAAAATAGACTTTTTCACTTTTTTTGGTCTTTTGGAAATTGTTGTTTGTGCTGTATTTAGACCCCTCTACCAAGAAATTTGTTTTACATGCACACGTATAAAAATTGCGGTTTTTATCCAACGCAATCATAGGTTTGGACGTTGTTTTCAATTTAGACTTTTATATATATATATATATATATATATATATATATATATATATATATATATATATATATATGTATACAAGTCACATTACCTGAAGATCTATAAAAGCAATGAAAGCGCCAGTAAAAGTGATGAATTGAAACCGTTATTATCTTTTATTAATTTTCTTATATGTTACCAGCATACGGATTCTACTTAACTTTTCTTTATATATATATATATATATATATATATATATATATATATATATATATATATATGGTCTGTCTTGTATTTTAAGATTCAAAATAGTATGCTTGGAGGGACAAAGAAAATATGTGCTATTTGTCCCTTCAAGCATAACACATTTATACAGGTGAAACATGACTGACCGGATTAGAATTATCGGATCATCGGTCATTTTATACCTGTATGAATGTGTTACAATCCCTAATGAAGTACTACAGTTGTCCTACAAAAGCAGCGTGACCAAGCACGGGCTATATGCCCCTGGGAGTATATAAAAAACCGGTATCTAGAAACCAAACTTGTTACGAAAACTCCATAGCACCAATATACAAAAAACTTTTGGGCTTCCAATGAAAACAAATTAGGCAGGGGTTCTGACTCTTGCTACTCCACCTTATATTTGGGAGGAATAACATTGCCGATTTAAAAAAAAAAAATTCAATGTTTCTTCTTGAAATTCTGGTTCTAAATTGTATCTCAATCTTTATATATCTGTCATAGTTATAAATGCTTTTTCCAGAGCCTCGATATGCATAAACAAATTCTTTGCTCATGTTTTTGAGCCAGATGTTCGCATTACCCTGACTAACTCTCCAGGTCTGAAAGTACATGCCCAGTGAAAATATTCTAGAAGAATTAAGAGCCGTATTCGAGAGATTTTATCTAGAAACTAAGATGTAGAAGAATTGCATACTACGTTGAATACGTTCAGCTATCCTCAGCAACTGTGATATTGACTTTTGATAAACTTACCTTAAAATCTATAGGTTTCCTCCCTTTCCTACTTTTAATCATTTGTATAAATCATATCTAAATCCAACAACGTCCGGTCAGAATGGGGACATTAAGTCCGATGCTTCGTTTTAAGAGAATGCCACGGTCTTTGCACGTTGAGAACCCTTCCAGCAACTCTTTGAGGGGTCCATAGGTGGCCTGTTGCAAGGCCAAATTTTTGTCCCTATCCAAAATATCCTAATTTTCCAGTGGCAGTCAAAATTTCACCGACCTTCATCCCGGACGGCCTCTATAACACGACCTACTTACAGTAGTTATTGTTAATTTGTCCTCGTCCTGAACATGCATGAAATAATTGCCAACGGACGTTTAGCAACCAAAAATCAATCAATTTATAGTTTCAATCTGTTTGTATCAGCTAAGACATTGATCTTTGACCTGTTGACCTGAAAATCTCTCTCTATATCTTCCATCTTTACGATTTCCATTTTAAAACAGAAACTCGACTTACCATCCGGAAACTAATTTCCATTTTTAGAAACATTGACCATGAAATTTGATCTATTGGCTAAAAAAATCAATGTGTTTTCCATTTACATAAGTGTCGTTCCAGTTGAGCATGTAACCCTCAAGTTGCCATCCGGAAAACATTTGTTTCGGACACGTAGATGGACGGATGAAAAAAGCAACGATTATGTGCTCTCGAATATAATTTTGGGAAGCATAAAAATGCTGGCACTTACTGAAAGCAAACTAAAGAATTTATACTGTCCATAATGGAGTGATGATTCCTTAAACTTCTTTATAATTGACCAAAGTTCATTAGAATAGCTTTCATATACCAACATCGTTAAAGATACCAGTGAAGATGAATTCATAAAGTTACTTCGCTGGGTTGTCTGGACACGAAAGCAAAAACATGTTGATTGACCAAAATCAAACGTGTATATAACAGTCATTAAATGGAAAATTCTTCTTCTTTTGGTAATAAAATCGTACATGGTCTACACATATTTTATGCCATACGGGCATATTGTACTGTTTTTATTTTTCAAAGTTGCATTCATTTATATACAGACCTTTAAAGTACATGACATGCAGGGCCATTTAAAAAGTTTTCTGTCAAAATACTGGTAAATAAATAGATCTACTTTGTAACAAGAGTTGACAATATGTGTACTGAATGCATATACTAACGTGCTTTCTTATTTTTTATTCTTTTTAAATTTAAGTCATGTGACTTCTGAAAATGTTTTATAAGTTTTTAGTGTTGAATTCAAGCATATCGACCAATAATCATTTTTTACGATCTCATTCTATTGTTGAATAGGGTAGTTTAAATGACAACTAACGTGAAATTTCTCATTGTTGGATTCAGTTTTTAGTGACCTGATTATTGTGATTATATATGTTTAAGGTTAAAATATTTCTTTTCTATGAAGCTGAAGTATACATTTTTATCGTTTTCAACCTTTCTGACTGGTACTCTGTTCTCGATTGTCGATGGTGACTTTTCGAATATTGTATTATCATGACATGAAATTTTAGTTCATGGATCAATTTGCGTAGATATTGAAATGGAATACTGCTTTGAATTGAAATTCGTAAAAAAGTGTAAGCTTCGACTCTTTTTCGAACGATTTACCGTCTGGGATGTTGTGATTTATTCATTAAAAAATGAATTATAATCGGTCTAATATTGCTGGATTCTATGCAAAACTGTGTTAAAAATGGGAGACGCTGCAGCAAGAATTGCTTTTTCACGAAAAAGACATGGAGATGCAAACAGAGTAGAGCAAAATAAAAACAAAGGCAAGAATGCAGGTTTAAAGTTTCGGAATATTGCCCTTTCAGCTTCGTCTGTTGATGGAAAACGGACACTTGTGACTGACCCGGAGCTAGCTGCAGTTTTGAGCGAAAAACAGAATAAGAAACAAACCGAGAAAAAGGATTCCTCTTGGTTTGAAAGAGTTAAAAGAATACACACAAGAAAACTTAGCAACTATTTATTTAGTACGGATAACGAATACAAGTTTTCAGCTCCAAAAGGTCATCATGAATTCTTTTTTGATGGAGGAACTAAGTTTAAGAAAGAAAAACATATGACGAAAGCAGAAAAGTTAAGACAATACAAATTTTTTGGTAAAGTATCCTTTAGTTTAATAATTATTGGTTTAAATTATTTGATGTGAAAGCTTTTCTCATCACTTTTGATCCTCTTTGTGGACTTCGACTGGACCATACTAGTAGGTTGCTATCTCATTGACGTTTAAACCACACCGCCTTTTATTCATATAAGAAACAGATGTATACTATTAGTAAATATTAGTTTTTCTCGTGTTGCTTAGGAGGAAAACATGCACTTTGAACATTTTAGATGTCATGTTCCTAATTAAGTGAATGGTTTAAGAGAAAGATAGCTACCTTTAAAAATAAAGACAAAGGTAGGGGGAAACGAGGGTTGAAAGATGGGTCATCTCATACAAGGCCATCAATACAATGTTCAACACAAGTTTTTTTGTTTTATTTATTTTGTAAATAGTTTTTTTTTATATTACATATATTGAAGTAATTGTATTCAGTTTCGTGGCAATAAGCAACTTAAAGCCCCAAAGTTGCTGAAAGCTTATTTAAAACGCATGAAAATTCATGTATATATTAAATATACATCGTAATCTTCTTCGTGAATTCGAATTGACTATCGAGCTGAATCTGAATCTGAAAGGATTAATCTTGAGGAAATTCGGGGGTTGGAACTCTTAAGTACTACCCGTTTTACCTGTTTACATAAAGTAAGAGTAGCCATGGTCATGATGGTGGTCTGTCGGTAGCATTTAGAGACATTTATTGAACCTAGATGGTTTCTATCAGATCTATGGATTCAAGACTGAAAATTTTTACTGAATATGACAGAAGAGATTGGCAATCTAAAAAGGACCTGTAGTCTGGACCTGTACATTTTTAATCATATTTTTCATACCTGAATGGAGTAAGAACATGTGTACTTTACGGTAAAGCTGAGATAAATACACCTTTTACTGTTTAAATACGAATTTAATTAGGAATCCGATCCACCTGCTGAATGGGATCACACAGGGGGTAGACTTGATAGTTGGAGCATATCTCCTGTATGACTGAGTACATAAAAAACTCAAACTTTACTGATATTTATTGGTCCCGATAATAATTGATAAATTTTGATATAATGCATAAAGAGTGGGCTTATTTAAAAAACTGCACATTTAAAAAAATTGAATATGAAGTAGATTTATTGGAATATCATGTTTAAATAGAAAGAGGACACCGTTTGAAGATGTTTGATTTAATTTCACATGTGCACAACAGAAACTCTTAATGATGAATTAGTACAAATTTTAAGTGATCAGTAGACGGATATACAAATATGAGTGATATATGATATAGTGATACTCAAAACTTAACATTAGTTAAAATGTGAAGATCAGAACAAAAAAATATTAAACAGTTTCTTAATAGTTTAAATTTGAATCTATAGGATATTAATAAAGTTGCTGATGTTAATTAAATATATGAGCTGCGTCGGATAGAAATCGACCTTATGCAAATCAACATCATTATCTGTTAATTATTTCGGTTTAAAAAAAAATTCAACGGAAAGTATGCGACTGTTTGCAAATTGAGTTGTTAAAAGAATGCTACAAAACGGACCAGAATTTATCTTTTATTTTATTGTATTTCGAATGTTCCAAAATTAATCAGTCTTATACATGTACATATACACGTACACTTGCATAAGGGTGATTTCAATCCGACGCAGCTCATATGTTCTGGTGGCTGTTCCGTTGCATTTTGTTCTAATTCATGTCCATAACTATGTAAAATTATGTAAATATCTCTAGTCATTCATACCTTTTATATGCCCCCGGCGTCACTGGAGGGGGCATGAAGTGTCACCCTTGTCCGTACGTACGCCCAAAATTGGTTTCCGTTCTCTAACTTTAGTTTGCCTCAACCAATGTTATAAAACTTATACACAATGCTTATTACCACAAAACTTCTAATTTGGGTGGTGTCACTTTTACTGTTCTCGAGTTACGCCTCTTCATAGCGTTATATGCAAGCGGGGGCATCATCTGTGTGCCATGACCACATTCTCCGTTTATTTAATTTTAATTTACTACCAAGTGAAATAAAATATATTAGTAGCATGCTAAGATATACTAATTAAAGAATACCTTGATTAGCAACACGTCCATTGAGATTAATGATGGTCAAACTTTGAGAGCTCAAATCTTTGTAGAAAATGCTCAAAATGATCTGAAATTAACAGTATTCCTGTTTTAAAGGATATTAAATAAACCAAAGAAGACAACTAAAAGATTAAAATAAAACTTGGGGGGAATAAAAATTGGGGGAGGGGTATAAAAAGTGCCCTTTCTATTTTTTTTCTTCATTTTTTTGCGAGGGAAACGATAGTTTCTGTTCATATGTAATCAATGTTGCCATCAGATTCACCAATTGTCAATTTTGCACGTTGTATGCATTTTAAAACTAGACCATGAACAAAAAATTGTTAAAATTGTGACTTTTAGTTATGACTCCTTTCCTCAGTAAGTGAACAGTGTACCGGTCTGAAATTGGACCACTATAACCTTAGTACTGTAGAACACACAAATGATTGAAGATTGAGAAAACACAAACTTGAAAGGTAAATCAAGCTTTTGTTTCACTTTATTTTCAGTCAGAAGTTGTGTTGCTAAACCTTTTTTTAAGTAGTATAATTCCTCCCTCATTACTTTTATTTTTGCCAATCACAGACGCATGTTAAAATCTATATTGAGATTAAGTTTACTTTTAGTACATAGTACTATTTGATGTAAAAATAAGAAGTGTAAAAAAGATCGCCAATGAGCAAACTCTCTACCTGAGGCAAAATGACGTAGAAGTTAGAAATTTAGAAGATGGTTCATTTTAACCTTTTGTACGCAAAAATTATCGACCCTACCTGATAACTAGATTTAAATGGCACACTCTTCATCTCGATCAAAGTCAATGAACATTGAAACTGCATTATTAGAGACAGAAAATAAAATCCAAAACTTCTTTTATATCGTGAAAATAAATCATACCGCAAAAGTGGGTTTGCGGCAATATCGCTGTATCGCGCTTGCATCGAGTGCGGGACGTTGTTTGGACCACGGGTCTTTGGAATATGTATTTGCTGCCTCTGCGCTCAGAACACATAGTAAGAGCATTGCCTGGTGTATTCGGAAACAGAATTATGTGTCTGTGTACAGTGACGTGATATATACATCAATTGGCAATAATTTTCGTTTACTTATATTTAGAAAAATTAAAAGAAATTTTTTTTTCTACTTAAGTTTAAGTTCATTATGTCGAAAGGGTGTGCAAAATATGTGCCACCACCCATTTACAGTTACTAACGATATAACAAAATGAAAAATAGAATGCATATCAAGGTTAATCAATTATTAAAAAAAACATGCATAAATGCAGTTTTCATTTAAATTTATTATTATATATTGCTGCCAATTCATAAATGTAAGGTTGTGTATTTTCAGATTATTTTGCCCATAATGAAAATGTTTAAAAGTATTATTCGATTGTCTGTTATTGAGAGTTTTTAACTTTTCGAAGGGTTTGTCGATGTACATTTAGAAAATAACAATCAACGAACCACAGTTCCATATGATAAAACGTATGGGGACTTACTTAACTCTTTATCACACGGCATATTTATCTGCCTATCCCAAGTAAGGACTCTCAGCAAACAGCTCTTGTCTATTTAAAGGGATTTGTTTTTGCTAAAGCATAGATGTATAAACCCATATATATCTATGTTTGACGTTACATATCTCGTCGTACGTATTGAATGTATTCATAACTTGTCTGATATATACACTTAAGGTATAGCACATACTTTATTTCCTCAAAACACGGTATCGTAAATCATAAAAACATATTTGATTTGAGGTTCAGAGATCATAGGCTAAAGGATTCCTAGGGAAGGAGGTGTAATTGAAATATAGCTACAATCTAAGCTGAGGGCTATAGAAATTGTAATCAGTCTGCTCTCTTTTTATCTTGTGTGCATACATACATCTTACCATAATTCTACAATACATAACATGAACGAAGAAGCCACGTTACATTGAATGAATAAAGAGGTAGTATGTGGTCGCAAGTTTTATTCATTGATTTTCAGAATGCTGATTCTTCGGATTATTTGGCTCTATCTCATGTCTTTTTAATTCTTAAGATATTTTTTTGGGAATACTAAGCCGTAACTATCGGATTAAAGAAACAATTGCACAGGGGAATTTCATTCAAAGGAATTTCACGTTAATTTTAAAATTCATGTGAATCTAACGTGAAATTCACGGGAATTTCCCCTCAAACGAGCTTAGACCGTTGGTTTTCCCGTTTGAATGGTTTTAAATTAGTAATTTTTGGGGCCCTTTATAGCTTGCTGTTCGGTGTGAGCCAATGCTCCGTGTTGAAGGCCGTACCTTGACCTATAATGGTTTACTTTTATAAATTGTTACTTGGATGGAGAGTTGTCTCATTGGCACTCATACCACATCTTCCTATATCTATTATACGTGAAACTCACGTTAAATCAGTTCGTGAGAGTTTCACGTGATAATCACAATTTTTTTCACGTGAAATGCACGTGAATTTTAAAAATAAAGTTATTCAAATAACATGTAAATTTTCAAATTTAATTAAAATCATGCAAAATACCAATTTATTTTTTTGTAAAGTTCACTTGAGATTCGTGTGAAAATTTTCATGCGAGTTTCATGTATAAGCTCGTTTGAGGTACGTGAGCAAAATTTGCACATGTAGTTGATCAATGCTTTGATTGATGACTTTTATTGTTTGCTTTTATCCTGCTCAGAATAAATCTGTAAATCACAGGAATTTCTTTAAATACACGATGTAAAAATTCATAAAAACTCAACTTTAAATCTATCTTTGACAACTGACCCATGTTAATAATCATTGTTTTTTCAATATATAATAAAAACTATGCTTGATCAAAATTAATTTGGCTTGACACAGCACTGCACCACTATTCACTATTGATCTTCGGCAATTTGGAATAGAGTTTTTAAGTTAAATGTAATTATACTAACTTGCATATTACACCTAGAAAGCAACAGTCTTTTTAGAGAAGTCGGCTTCTTCCAATAGAAAATAGAAACGGGGAATGTGCCAAAGAGACAACAACTTGACGAAAGAGCAGAAAAACAGCCGAAGGCCACCAATGGGTCTTCAACGCAGCGAGAAAATCCCGAAGGCGGGCTTCAGCTGACCCTCAAACAATAATTTATGCTAGTTCAGCGAAATGGACGCAACACTAAACTCCGAAACATACGAATAAACCAAAATTTAAAAGCACACAAGACTAACAAAGGCTAGAGTTTCCTGACTTGGGACAGACACAAAAATGCGGCGGGGTTAAACATGTCAACCCTGCCCTTATACCTTTAGCCAATGTGGAATAATCAAACACACAGCAATACGCAAAGTAAAACTCCGCTGAAAAGAATTCCGAGTCCGATGTTAGAATAGGTAACAGAAGAAACTAAGCAAAATGACAATGATCAACATAAATTAAGAAAAGACTGCTAGCAGTTACTGACATGCCAGCTCTAGATCTCAATTAAACTGATCGAAAGATTATGTCAGGGGTTTAGTATCATGCCATCATAAATTATACGAGAAGAACATAACCCGTACCATGCCAACAACTGACTGGTTTTCGATAAACTATTTATTTTTGTTTCCAACTTTGGCAAAATCTTGCCTCCTATTTGTTCACTTGTTTGGGTTTTTTTTTCTTGAGTTTTGTAAATATGAGCACTTAAAAGCAAATTTGAGAAAACTTATTCGCAAACGCCATACAATCAATCAGCTCTCCAGTATAGCCGTCTTCTTCACCAAATGGAGATATGTTTTTTAATTAATTAGAATTACATTATTTAATGGCGAATCGCTTTGCAAATTTTCTTGTAAAATAACATTTTATACCCACACATATACAAACATTACAGTAGTGAATACCAAGTTTATAATGCATTGAATAGAACATGACAATTTGAATGTTAATAAGCATAGCTTTTCAAGTTCGAATTGTGAACAAGTCCTTTAGCAAAGACATTCGTCCACTTAACCCAGTGTTATTGACGTCTAGAAGGTACAATGCAAGCAATTCTATAATAAGTAATTTAATCTAAGACAGAAAAAGCAACTAAAACATCTATGTAAACTTTTCAGTCTGCAAAGTACACATAATATATATAAAAATAAGAAGATGTGGTATGATTGCCATTGTGACAACTCTCTGCCAGAGACCAAATGACATAGAAGTTAACAACTATAGGTCACCATACGGCCTTCAACAATGAGCAAAACCCATACCGCATTGTCAGCTATAAAAGGCCCCGAAATGTAAAATAATGGAGTCAAACGAGAAAACTAACGACCTGATTTATGTACAAAACAATAAACGAAAAACAAATATGATACACAGCAACAAACGACAACCACCGAATAACAGGCTCCTGACTTGGGACAGGCCATACAGAATGTGGCGGGGTTAAACTAGTTTGCTGGCGCCAAACCCTCCCCCTTACCTTTGTCACTGGTGTAACATGTAAAGTACAACATAAGAACAAACTATAAAAATCAGTTGAAAAGTACTACGAAAGCCTTTTAGGGCCATGCTAATTTACTTTTTTCCAATTTGATATAACACATTGATAATTTGTTATATCAAATTAATAATTTGTTATATCAAATTGGAAAACGTAAATTAGCATGGCGCTAAAAGGCTTCCGTACAAAAGGGCGAGCTCATCAGATCAATACAAAGATATAAAACATCTAACAAAATACACAGACCGGACGTGGCAGGGTATTTATACAGAGACAAAACAACAAAAACCTTAAGTACAGATCTGAGAGTACAGTAACAACTAATAATCAAAGTACTGAAGTACTGAACATCGGATGACCGCAAGTTCTGGCGGATAGTCACAGGCACTTGTCTCAGAAAAAATAAAATATCTCTATACCTGAAAGTTAGGTTAAGGTACATAGATTTTTTTTTCTTAGACAAGTTCCTGTGTGGATGACAGAGAACTCAACAGAGAATTCAACCTCATCGTAATAATTATTATATTGTAGTGATATAATCAAGGGACAATCATTTGTTATCAGTATAATCTGGTTTGTTGTTATATATTATATTAATATTTGTACAACAGTTATATATATAGCAGATCATCTTAATAACTCTACCGGCAAATTTTCATCCATTTATACCATCATTCTATTCTACTATTCTAATGATAGTGCAGTACAAGTGCATGGTGGACACTCTTCTGTAATAATTCGTTTTTCTAATAGGTTTGATTTGAGTAGGCATTCATATTTCTCCCGCTAATGAATATGTATTGATGAAATTAATATATAACAAGCGATAAGAGATATTCATCCGCAAACACAATTTATATATATTTCTCACGACAAAACATTTTCATATTATTCATTTATGTTCTTAAAAAATATTTTCATGATTATTCATTGAATAAATGAATTTATAACAAGCCATAAGGAATGTTATTTTGCACTCGATAATATACGCGTATTTATGCAAAATACGTTCGGTTATCAGTCAAAAACGCAAGTCACGTGGGTAGAAATGTCTGCGGCAACATAACACCGGAATGCCCTCAAGATCATCCGCTGTTAAAATCATGCATCTAAGACTAAAATATCAATTAGTACACATCCAACATCCAGTGGGTTAAGTGTAAAGACGTCATTAACAGTCAGAGAAAATCATGACCTCGTGCAATGCCAAGATAAAGGTATCGACAGATTGTAGAACCATGAATGTGGATATGAATATCAAATTAATATTTAGTTGGATTTTAATTTACTGATAAAAAAAAAATATTTATCCCAATAAAAATAATATTCAAAGATCTAATAACAGTGTTGAAATGGTAACCTTTTAGAATAAGTATATTTGAAGGATCGATAAGATTACCCGGATAGTATCTAAATTTCCGGGCTCGGTAAACAACATCTCCCTAAAAATTAGGATATCATATCCCGTTTGAAATAAGTTTTTTACTAATACATATGAATAAAGTTCTGTTTGGAACCAGCTCCTGTTTTTCATTTTTGTATTCGTTATTATAAGATTTCCAGTGCAGCAATGGTCATTGACTGTTGCATGTTCCGAAATTCAAAGCACTATCCGTGTTAATGTATACATATATATGACAGGGATATTGGACGACCCTGCTATAACAAATGTTCTGGGGAATAGCTCTCAGACTTAGATGACAAAGTAACAATTAGGATTCCAAATATTTATATTAATTTACGTTCAAATTTATCAACAATGTATGCGAAAAACAATATTAATTATAGAATTTTGACGAGGTCAATACGTCATAAATGGACCTGTTCAGACTATATTGACCGAGGACGAAGTTCGAATGTCAATATATAATTATTAATGTAACAGGTCCATGTATAACGTATTGACTGAGTGAAAGTCCTTAATCAATATATTACATATGTAAATAGTTTATTATGGAAATGGACTTCTTCATGAATGTTATGTGGCGGAGAGTAATTTCGGACCAGAACGGCTTATATCCGGATCCAAATTTAGAAGTATAGCGTCAATATATAAATATAAATAGAAACATGGCGTCCATATACTTAACCAAAGTACTGAAGTACTGAACATCGGATGACCGCAAGTTCTGGTGGATGGTCACAGGCACTTGTCTCAGAAAAAAAAATCATATATCTATACCTGAAAGTTAGGTTAAGGTACATAGATATATTTTTTTTCTGAGACAAGTTCCTGTGTGGATGATGAATAAATGATAGGGAATTCAACCTCACCGTAATAATTATTTTATTGTAGTGATATAATCGTTTGTTATCAGTATAATCTGGTTTGTTGTTATATATTATATTAATATTTGTATAACAGTTATGTTATATAGCAGATCATCTCTCGAGATATTCTTCCGCATGCGTTATTACAAATTCTCGGTATTCATGATTTGTTACTGCATGATATATATATTTCTCACGACAAAAAATTTTCATATCATTTATCTATGTTCTTAAAAATTGTTTTCATGAATATTTATTGATGAAATTAATATATAACAAGCGATAAGGAATGTTATTTTGCACTCGATAATATCCGCGTATTTATACGTAATACGTTCGGTTATCAGTCAAAAGCGCAAGGGACGTGTGCAGAATTTCTGCGGCAACATAACACCGGTATGACCTATCAAGGTCACATCCGATGTAAAAATAGAAACAATTAAGGCTTCAGGTACATGGAATACCCTTTGAATTACGTGATCGTAATAACCAATGAAAAAGAATAATGCTACACCATATATGTAATATTAACCTGTATAAACGTTTTGTTTATTACGGAAACCCGTATACATTAATTCGACGCCTGAATCTTATCTTCTTGAATTTCTCACTAATCTACCTTTAATTCTTATTTAATTACCTACTACATGTAATATTACATAATTAGCTTGAAAACAGCACATAAAAGAATAAAGAAAAGTAATTGATTTCTAAATTGATATATCATGTCCTTTCTTTTCCATTTAGTTGTGAATGAATTTAACCATGACTATCAAAGATCTTGTACTTTGGCCAATGTTAATTTGTATACAGAATTTCAATGGAGAACAGAAACATGTCAGTCGTGTTCAAATTGCAAACTAGCGAATCAATTTGCACTTTATAAATATAAGTTTCAGTTATTTCACAAAAAAAAAAAAAAAACAGTACTATAAGTCGCAGTGATTGCACCAAAACTGTATAATTACAACCTCTATCAATAAGTTTATTAAGTCGTCAAGAAAGATATTTTTAAAGACCATTCTTGTATGAATTTGTTGTAATGTGTTCTTTTTTTTATATTTTTCAGCTGCGACGAGGCTCCGGTACAAAGCCCGCACGATGATTGGAGCTACCGGAAGCCGACACATATCCCAGCGCCGTCGTGCATCCCTGGCTACTCCCGCCGCATCGCCGTCCATGTTTTCGCCTTTACATCAGTTGGCGGAGGAAGATGAAGAGGGTCCAAAAATTCCGGCGTTGAGGCGGCGGGCAGTCGATACCTCCGACTACCGGACTTGTGCCATATTACAAACACGCCTTAAAAATGTGAAACATTACCCCGAGTAAGTATCATTTGTTTATATATATCTTTTATAACATATTTAATTTACATGCTATTGCAAGAATTTTTTTTTGTTTCGCTGGATGAAAATTAAGCATTGTGGACATCATCAGTGCTATTCAGAGAGCTATTCAGCAATACAGCTTACAGAAATTATGTTACACATATACATATTGCTTATATATACCCATGTTGTTACAAATTACAATCAGATTTGAATCATTGAATCGTCAGCGAAGAATGACAACTAACAATGTGAAGATGAAAATGTGAAAATTTCATGATGAATAACGAATATTATCAGATTTATAAAGGTAATTATCTAGATTGGTAAAAGACAATGAAGGTACATAATTAACACAAATAATAGAACTTTTTACTCAAGCGCAAAAGGAATTTGATGCTATTTTCGTTGTAAGTCAAGTAATATCCTGAAAATAGATTTAATAACTTACAAATACTTTTATATTACATAATATAATCTGACGATCTGTAGACAAGTCTCCATGATTTCAACTGCCACTATGCAGGCTACTTTTTCTAAACATGCACGCTATGTAAGAAAGAGATTATATATACCTTTGAAAATTATGTTCTTATTTCATTTAAACCGTTTAACAGGTCACTTCTCCCTTTACCGAATCGTCAGTAAAATTATTGGAATCTCACCTTTTTAAAAATTATTTTAAAAATCCAAGAATCGCACCTGTTACTGTTCAACCACCGGTGGTTCAACACAGAAAGTAATATCTAAAGTAAACTAAATAATATGTTAATGGCTAGGAAGGGGTACAAAAAATCAATACTGAAATTAACTGCTTCAAAACTGTAAGTGACCATTTTCTCATCTGACACTACTATGCAATTATAAACACACATTCATTCTGTTACACTATAATGAGACAAGTTACCATTATAATACTGATTGACCATCCGAACTTTTGGTCAGAATAGGCTTGTTTTGATTCTGTCTTTCTATTGTCTTTTTTAATTTTTCTTAGTTCAGAGTTATTTCATATCGATCCAAATTATCACAACAAATGTTATTTAAAAGCCTTAATTTTCCAGAATCAGTCAACATTTCTAGATTATTCCATTAGTGCATACCTAATTTATTTATTGCATACGTTGTTCATATCGAAATATTTGGTAGTGGACGCGAAGCAAACGATACACAATTAAAAAAAATCAAATTCAAAAGTTATTCGTAAAGTATGTTATCATTTGTACAAGATATTACAAGAAATATAAGTCTTGCTTGTTCGAAATGAATTTTACGCTTTACCGTAAGTCTAAAATAAGCATTGCCCCCTTATAAACTAATTCAATATTTCAAATGGAAACAGATAATATCTGCGACAACAACGAAGGTAAATAATCTTATAAATTTTTCAGTTTAGAAATTAGCATCGTGAACCAAAAACTTATTATCACTATAAAAGCAAGACAACTCGTGTTTGAATTTTTAAATCCTTTTTGAGTTACGTTTCTTCAAATGGATTTTAAAGAAGCAAGAACGGCGGTTTTCGTAAAATAATGTTTGTAGTCTATTCCAAATTCTAGTTGTCAATAAACGTATGATTGATTGTTGCTTTCTTAAAGTCCAGTTACAGGTATTACATGCATATTCAGGACGAGAACAAATTAACAATTAATACAATGCATAGGTAGGTTCGGCAAGGTAGGTCGATCGGGATGAAGAGCGGGAAATTTGGACTGCTACTTGAAAGTGAGGACATGTTGGATAGGAGAACATAGCATGGTGGAATTATTTCGATTCTAATAGGAAAATTTAGAACTTTATTATACCGAAGCGGACCTATAATACACGTTCGAAAGACAGCCATTTTGATTTGATGAAGCCAAAACAATATAGAAAATCAATCGTTTCACGATAAAAAATGAACAGATACATGTACACTTGTTTTTAGAATGATTTTATTTAATTTCCTATAGCGAGCAACACCAACACAAACTTCCATTTTGGTCTCTCTTATCACAAATGGTCACGTGGCTTCGTGAAGATAACTTGGTATTTATAAAGGGAAGTATCTAATAATACTGGACACTTTGTAGATTAAGTGCAATATAATATGTCACGATTTAAAAGTCTTTGTAAAATGTGCAAAATTGTATATTTAAGTATCGAATGTGTAAAATTGTATATTCAAATACCGAATGTGTAAAATCGTATTTCCAAGTCACAAAATTGTATTTTCAAGTACCGAATGTGTAAAATCGTATTTCCAAGTACCGAATGTATAAAATTGAAGCTCAGGGATTCGGGAATCTTATTTTTGAACGTATTTGTGCTCTCTAGTTTCATTGGTTAGAAAGCACATTACGTTCTAAAATAAAATTCCCGAGCGTTTCATTGGTTAAAGAGCACATAACGTTATAATTGGGTGAAGAGAGCACATTACGTACGTTCTAAGTAAGATCCCCGGTCCCTTTGATTGAAAGGCAAGGTAGGCAACCGAAAAATTCGCATACAATTATAAAAAAAAAACAATAAATGCTTATTAAAAACAGGATCTCGAAAAATGGTAGTGGTCGACTTCTAGCCAAGGATGTATATCATGACACGAGTAGGTCTTTTTTTTTTTTATTGTCGTATGTTTAGTATGCCGGTATGGCTTAAAGAAGGTGTAGGATGTACTACAATAAGACACCAGGATGATTTGTATTCAAGACCAACAGGAAAGCACTAAATCCTGGTTGGCCTCTAGTTTATATGAATTTAAAACGGAATTCTTTCGAAAAAAATATAACTTTGACACGTGCTGGTTGTTATAATGCATAACAAAAAAGGCTCGAAAAATAAATTACAGAACATTTTAATCAAATTTGGAATAAATATCATCCAATTCTTTCCTTTAAGTTTTTATTGCAATGAATTTATTTTGATATGTTTCTCTCTCGATCCATGTCAGGGAAATGACGATGTTAGTCTTGACAGCGCTGGATATAAACTGCAATATAATAATGCGTCGACAAAGGTTTCGAAAGAGTGAGTTAAATCAGAAAACAAGGAGACAAATAAAGTTGATGATATTGTCACCAGCATGGTGTTCAATCGATTTTTGTCTACTTTTCTGTGACACGGATCTATTGATCGTGTTCTTGACATAACTAAGTTACAGAGGACACAGTCACAATATAATATTCAGACAGTCTTATCCTGGAATATTTATTTAAATTTATCTATTTGTTCATGTGTGACTATACATAACGACACGATTAAAGTTATGTTTCCAATCAGCCAACCATAAATAGATGGGGTTTAGTGTCTCATGGGTAATTTTTCAATCATTCAGGTCGAGAACATATTTTATTTTGATATCAATATAAACCCTGCTTTGTACTAGACATACAGTAAACTGATCCTCCATTTCACCTAACAGCTCCGATCTTGGCTCATTGCCCGTCCGACGCGAAGAGGAGGCTGGGTAAGGATGATATGTTATTAATAATGTATGCAATTTTTAGACAGACATACGGAGTCGAATTTATATGGTGTTAGCTCATAAGTTTACAGTCCACTGGCAGGCATGTAACCCCAACCAGACACATTATTTTGAATACGAGCCGACCAGTCTTTGTATTTTCTTATACCGGTAAATCCTGGACGGAACAGCAACAAATATTAATTTTCAAGTAGGGGACCGATATCCATGAACGCTATGCTTTATATGAAGACGTTATTAATACTATCAACGAAGAGGACATTTAGGACATTTATGTATAATACGTTATTAAAGTCATTTGAAACGAGTTTCTTGTAATGTTGATGTAATCGAAATTATTGAACCAATGCATGCATATATACTATACTTGGCCCCGTATGCTCGGGTTTTTTTTTATTTATTACGAATCTATAATGTATTATCGACAAATAATATTTCATTCAGTTAGAGTAAATTGCAAGCTAATTAAATTTTGAGTTTGGTGCCGAAGTTTACCGGATCGTGACATTGAAATACAATCAACACAGAGCATGTGACAAATAAGTGAACTGATAGAGCCATGTTATTTTTTATTATATTTTCCATGAGTTCCTTTTCGTTTATTTAACTTTTCCTTATTTATTAATCAGTTATTACTATTTACCTTCAAGTGCACGTTTGTTTACATTCCATCATCATGGTTTCTCCTCGCACTTGCGATGTGCGGTGGCCGAAGTTCTTACGAGAGGTCTCCTAGTTAAGATCAATGCATACGGGAAAATATCGGCGAATTAGTGTAAGGGAAGACAATTTTTTAATAGCAGTACATTTATGAAGATTTTGATTACGTAAAGGACTTGCTTTTACAAGAAAGTTCACGTGCATTTGTTTTATAGTAATACTTAGCTCTTCAAGTATATGTAAAACATATTCAACTTTTTTTTTAATTTTGGAGTTTCATATGACTTTAAAATTGTTTTGAGAACAAATTCGTCGACGACGCGTATATGTACCAAACTCAATCTAATTTTCTTCGTTGTATATATGTTACGGAGAAGCCCACAAACTCTGCGTATGTACGAAGATTCACGAGAGAGGTTCAAGAAAATCTTGTCATTTAAAGAATAGAGTGGGGCGCACATATTCGCCGGGGACACAATTTCGCCGTTTTATGATTTTGAGGTTTAGAAACTTCAAAGGATTGCTGAAATGGAAGAAATATGCCGGTAAATTATATTTCTATAACAAATATGATTATTTTTTAAACTTAGAAAAAATTTCGGCACTTACCGCAAAGTTTCCTGAATGAAAAAAAAAGATTTCAAAGAAGCATTTCTTAGTAATTCTTTGACTGATTGCCCTAAATTTCAGTTCTTCACACGTTTGAAATGTCTGCTATTCATCTATAATGAAATTAATTTGATAAATATTGTTTAAAGCTGCAGTTTTTTGGTTTTAAATAGATGTGTAAAAACGGCGAATATGTGTCCCCTATGACAAAACATCAGGAAATTTCTAATAGCCTTTAATCTAACTTTTCAGATGCATTTTTTCA